GGTACAATTTCATAAAAACATATTGAAATCAATACATATCACGAGGATGGTAACCAAAACGAGTACTCTGGCGATTTCATATTTTGAGATGATCACTTGTAATATGTGAACACTTGGTTAAGTATCTGAATGAATGAACTGGTTGCATCTGAACAGAATAAGATTGTACCTCGTCAAGATATCATAGATGAGTTTCGAAGTTTTGCGATACTCGTCGAATTGATATGGAACACAAATCAAATCAGGGCATAAACTCTTCGCTTGTTTCACGTAACAGCCATTACGAACGCCACATGCACGAGCCTCATAACTACACGATGCCACTTCCGACATTCCAGCACCTTCTTCTGATCCCTGTACGGAGGCATTTATGGAATAGTGCAATTCTGGGTTTGACACAGTTGAGGATTTACAACGAAGGCATCACAAATCTCACTCATTTCCGTAAATGACACAACTTGACGGGACAGAAATCTTCCAATTTGAAATCAGTGCACAGAAATTTGGATGTTTTTAAATGTTTAATACGAATAGCACAACAATATTCGATATTTCACGGGGATATGAATGGAGAAAATTGATAGTATACAAAACATTCGAATCTTGTTTAACGAGTAGCACACTAATACCCTCGAATGCGTCACTGCAACTGGCTTCCCTCTGAGCTCGGGTCGGGTTCGTAAAGCAATCGACACAAAATAACAATCCAAATCAATGTGACATATTGTCTCAGTCGGACATCTAAAACATCGAGATCCGTGATTTTTTTAAAATCGAAATGACAAATACGATCATCATTCAAACACTTCGATTATGAGTCGTTAGCTTTCTATAAGGAAACGACTAAAACGTTCCAAAAATTAAATGCGTTCTCAGTTGATTGTTGACAAGGGGTGGTTGAATCACATCACTGCTTAGAACAAAACTAATTGCAAGCTCTCTGACAAGGATAATCGAGCAAATGATCTCGAGACCAACTGATGCATAAACAACACATAAATACTATTACTGCCCGAAACTTTCTGCCATACCTAATAGAAATGGAATAAAATTTGCAATATGAGAATGACAGCAAAATGGATACCCTTCAAAGTGGCAGCAAACAAGATGAGAGAGTCGGTTTCGAGAGACGAACTCAGGCGTCCGCGATGCACTTCTCAATTCACTAACGTACTGTTTCATCTCCTGAGCCAATGTAGAGATCAAATGAAGACGTGATCTGCAGTCAAATTCACTACAGATCATCCTCATAAAGAATATTCCCAGACATTATCAACATCTTGAGATGATGATTGAAGTGAGGCACCATTACAAATTACAACATATACAATTCATTACTTATTGTTAGAATGATAACAGGAAAACCTATCTTTGATTATTAGAATACTCGGATTTTAAAACGGGTATTTGGAGATGATGTAAAAGACTGAATGGAACCTTTCATAGAAATTGGTGATGAAATTTGGGTCAGTGGCCGCATTCAGAGTGTTCTCACCACGTTTAACGAATTTCGAGATGCCCACGGCCGAATGCTGGTCGGAATTTTTATAAACCAGATAATTTGACTCCGGTAATCGCTCACCTGCTCCGATACTATAACAATGATCAATAAGGATTGCCAAATTGAAACGAAAGAATTTTGGGAAACGAAAAAAAAANAAAAAAAAATTTGAATTGTTTTTGTTAATGACACCCCTGACATAAGCAGTTTTTCAATGCACTCAACCTGAAGTTTGAATACATTCCACCTTTTGATTGTATCACTCGAAAGATATGGACTTATCTTAAAACATCTTGAGATATCACGGCGATTATTCTCATGTTAGGATTGAAGTTCTTAGAGAAGATGAATTGGAAACGAACCTATCAAGAATCCATTTTGGATGAATCACTTTCTCATTCCTACGCAATTTATTCACCTTTCCAGTGGCTATATGCGTTGCAACAGTATACGTTGTCGTACCGTATTCATAATAGATATGGAATTCACCACCGTGTTGTTGAATCAAACGACGTAGCTCAGACGCTGGTGGGTCTGGAATTCGAACACTCACTTATTATCACTATGATGGGACGATTCAATTGATGAATGACAATCATAAATAAGAAATCACTGGAATGGAGGAATACGAAACGTGTGATAAATATTAACATAAGCTGAAACTTACCCGTATAACCATTTATGTAGATAGAAACACCATCAAATATTCCCGAAATTTTTGGTTTTGATTCACGAGCATTTATTTGGTAGAGAAGTTTGGATTTCTTCATGCTCATATAACGACGCTGAAACCAATTTTTATTACTGTATCACCTACTCAAGCAAAAACGTGCCTTTCTGCCTTGTTAGAATTTCCTTGTCTTTAAATCACAAATTTCTTCCGATAACTGTATTCCTTTTGTTCATTCCCTCGTCACTAAACGTGAACGAGAGCCGATGACAACAAGCAGTAAGATCAAAATCAGATCGAAACGAAGTAAAATAATGCAAAACGACAATACCCATTGGTCCGATGAATCGATAGGTTCATCGTCCTTCGCTGAGGTTGATGCAGATGTCGTCTCATCCATGACCACAAGATATTTCTGAGAACTGATAGATAATCAGCCAATTGATGATTGTTGATAAATATCAATTCTGAAAAGTGATTCTTAAATCTACTTTAAAATCATCAGAAGTACATCCACTCTTTCGAAACAATAACAGTGACGAGACTACTCGATGAATACAACAAAAATCTCATGAACTCTATCGAAAACCGACAGTTTTCACATTTACTTAATACATTCATCATAAATAATGCTATCAAATGAACGCGATTTCTCAAGAAAACGCTCTTGTTGCCCATTTGCCACTACTGACTATTTAGCGATTGTTCTTCTCTACGTCTAAGACTTCGTGAGTAATTGCCTATAATAGCGTTTGCATCTCACAAAAAGGCGGGAGAGCAGAGGGTCATTGATTTTCATTCGTCAGATGATTGCACTGTTTGTGGAAATGCTGATTGTCTTTGCTATTAATTAGGTTTGCGGTGTGTGGGATACGGGGAAGTTGTGGTGTTGGCATGATCCAGCCATCGTTTTGATGAGAAAAGTTTCGACGGATACTCTTCGGAGATATTTTCACGGATATTTTCATAGATATTTTCATGGATATTTTCAACGGATATTTTGATATTTGGTTATTATTCGTCCACAAATGGATAATTTTTTTCAGCGTGAATATGTCGTTTTGGCGTTATCTTCATTCGATACGCAATTACACGAAATTGTTTCTGCGGTTCAGTGGCATTGGTTCGTTTCGTAAAGCGATACCGATGAAGCGGGTTCGTTTCAAGCCAATCACTCGTTTCACACCGATCCTCAGACAACAACGTTTCATCCAGCGTTCATCGGCCGGTCTTCTCAAACAAGTATCGTTTTCGATTGTTATTTTTTCAGTAGAATTGAAGCCATCCAGTCAGCTTTCTCCTTACTCGAGCCAGAAATACTCTGTTCTGTCCCAAATGTGCTGTTTTTTCATTGACTATTTATTTAATAGCAGTCGTCTTGCAGTCATTACTTATGTATAGTCGTGCCTGTTACTCCCAAATGTTTCATCATTAACCACTGAATGGAGTAAACATTTGATTACCAAATGTTTTTGAGTTATATTCTTAGTTGCTCGAATTTTAAAATATTTTAATTCGTTTGAATTAAGTGGAAAAATGTGAAAAAGGATCCCATGATTATGACAATAGCCGATGTAATAATAATAATAATAATAATAATGAAAATTTCAGTTTCGAAGTGCACTTCGCAATTTGGTTGCACTTCAGTATGTCCCTCCGATCGCATATAAGCAGAGTCGTGCTCGCGAAAATTTAAAGTCGAATCTGCAGCATCGTTTCAAACTATTATCGAACGAACAATTCCGAGTTAACACCAATTCATTGGTATACGATCGAATACGTGTTAGTTTTGACCATTTTTACGTGTCTCATTTTGATTTTCTGTCAAAATTGTCTCAGAGTTTCGTCGAGCAAATGAAACTGTACATGCTATGTTCTGAAAATTATCCAAATGCTATTATTACTGCCTCAAATATGACTGTTCGAACCGAAATGGTTTTGTTTTACTGATTTATCTCTAATTTTCTTTATTCATCGCGTTCAAACAATTTGTAAACCGAAATGTTTGAAATTTATCAAATATAAATATCCAAAGTCATTATTGCTGTGCTCGATTGTTAACATTGTTAATATTTCGTTTCTTAATCGTACAATAATTTCTTTTTTAGAAAGTGTTCGTCTCAAATGTTCCAACAGATTATTCGTTGATGCATTTGCCGAACGATATAAATAATTATGAGATTGGTATGTTTCAAGATTTATTTTATATACATATAAAGTTTTCGACTGATATTAATTCAAGGAATCATTTCAAGCAGCATCCCAGTTTCTGATGGCATTTAAAAAAACAACTTCTATCAGGTGATTTTATTGGAAGTGGCCAAAATGCGGCTGTTTATGAACTGTCAACGATCAATAATCCGAGCGATGGTATCGATAAGGATATGAAAGATTGTCGAGATGATTTGGCTGTAAAGATGATCTATAATTTCAACTTTAACGAGCCTGTTGAATCGCTATTGGTCGACTCTCAAAGTGAATTAGTCCCACTTTGTAATGAATCCAATCTACCGATTGGATCGATGATGAAGTAAGTTATACATTTCGTTTATATTGATCTCTTTTCAGATTATTCGATCAATTCGTTTAAATATAATCCAATCCTTCAGCGACATTTTGTCTTGAATTGATATTATCGCATTTTATTGTGTTTTAAAAGGAGTGAGTGAGGTTGGTGCTGAACGACAGTGAATTTCAGTTTTCGTCGCTTACCGAAAACGCATCCGAATATAATAAAAGTGCATACGGCATTCCTTAGTGATTGGAAACAATTGGCAAATGCGGATCGCCATTATCCAGCAGTTTTACCATCTGTTGAAAATTATGGCTATATTCCTCAAAATCCAAAAACTCTTTACGTTGTCATGCAAAGGTTTTGTGCCATTATTATTGCTATTGTTATTTGATTAATTTGGATGTGTTAATGAGGGAGATAAGCTTGAATGAAAAATTGGCCTTTCTGTGGATATCATTTGAGTGATGATTTCGACGACGATTGAAGAATGAATGTTATGATTACAGATATCAAATGACACTCGATGATTATATGAACAAAATACCGATGAATTATAAGAAAGCACACGTCTTACTGGGACAACTTCTAGAGGCAGTCGCATATTTGTACAATCAAAAAATAAGTCATCGTGATGTGAAGTTGAACAATATCCTTTTGAATTTCAGCACTGAAGGTGATTTTTTTTCGATGAAAAGGTTTCATATTTTGTCGATTTCATTCATTCGTTCATTTATCTCATATGTACAATTTTTTCAAAAATGAAAGTCACATTGCGAGCATTGAATACTTTGGTCGTTTTTGCATGATTTGCGATGGTAAATGAATATTATTTCAGATCAATATCCACACTTAGCGCTTAGTGATTTTGGATGTGCTTTTTCAACTGGTTCATGGAAACTACATTACAATAAGGCGGATATGGAGATTGGTGGAAATATTGCACACTTACCACCTGAGGTTAGTGTAACTTGGAATTGGGAAGGCTCTTGTTGACTAATGACTTCTTTCCAAATGATCTGTAGCAGAAAAAAAAANAAAAAAAAACGAATTAAACTTCTACTGGTGCTTCATCTTCTGTGTGATGCATTTTTTCTCGATTCAGGTGAACAATGCGAAACCATCCGAGGAGACCTGGATTGATTATAGTAAGGCTGATATATGGGCTGTTGGTCTAATCGGCTATGATATATTCGACAGGTATATACGTCTTGAGTTTAGTCACTCATCTGCGCGATCTTTTCAAACGATTTCGAACGGAGACAACAAATACTTCAGTTTTTAAAGGAATAAAGGTTCTGATGCCTTAGGAAACTGAATACTGTTCGGTGTTTTGCATATCTGTCACACAGTTGAATGATATAATAATTTTAAGAACTTGGTTTTCCTTAAAAGAACAGTCCCTTGAGGCGGACGATGTGAATTTATCACGACCCTTATTCATTGGCACTACGTTGGGTCGCGTTATGGAGGATATGCTTCGAAAGGATTATCAGAAGGTATTTTATGAAAGTATCTGTCTGATATTTTATCAGTTCGTCGGTTATTCATTCAACTGAATGAAGTTTCATCGCTCAGAATGTTTATTTTGTACTTGATATAGTTAACATTTTACGAGACTTTAATTGCAATTGTGGTTATAACAATTTCATATTAACGCTGTTTGATCGTCGTCGTTTTGATATTTGAAAAACCATTTAGCGCATCAATCCAAACACAGCAGCGAACGTTATCAATATGATGTTATTCGGAATTGGTAAAGGAATGAAGAATTTATTGAATGATTGTCATTTGAAAGGATGGAATTTGCATCAGTCGATCAGCCAAATTATGGCATCTAAAAGCAAAACTATTCAAAACGTATGTTGAATCGTGTTCATCATTTGCCTATTGATCTGTTGAACTAATGTGCACGGATTCCTTATGAATTCATTATTTATATAAGTCTAATGAATTTCTTATGTTTGTTCATGAGAATCCAGTGGCAAACTCGACTCTGAATGTTGAATTGATGATAAGTGGTGTTCATTTGTTGGATAGCTTAGCTGTATGAATTGTCACAATAAACAAAATTCAGATTGGTAAACTTATCGACAAAGGTCTCGATGAGGTGGCCACGTTTTTTGCTGCAGATTTAATTGTTTCACGACGAACGTCTGACCCTATTCAGTATCAGGTTGCACTATTTCGATTTTCTTTTTAGATTCTAAATCTAAGCAGTGCTCTTTTAGAGTTTGGTTGTTTGGGAATAAACAGTTTACAATTAGTTGAATTTTGGTTTCGTGAATTTCGGTTTATTGGGGTATTTTGATGTTTCAGCGGTATCGTGAACTGACTGATTAAATTTGTTTTAGTTGCGAACAACGTTTATGGAGCGTCTACAAAAAGAATACGTCTGGAATGCTGTGGAATATTTCGACGATGAGAATTGAATATCGAATGGAGAAATGAATTGTTTTATAGTATTAACCTGCATTACTTAAGAGACAGTTACAAAATAGTCTCATTTTTGTTCTTTGCAGTGATGATGTCTGATAGCATTGTGTCACTCTAATCTTATTTGTTTGTACAGTTCCTTCTTTAACTTCTCGTTTCTGCGTTTATGTCGATGTGTATATTTTTGTTGTATGTTTACTGCTTCATTGACAGGTTTCTTGCAATTATCAGGTGCTATGATCATTTAGTTGTATATTCAGATAGATTTATGATTTCAGATATATCGTTTTTTAGTCAACATATTGTTGAATAATTTTCAGCACTGACTTTGGTGATAAAAAGTTCATCTCATTGAATAAATAAATTATAGTAAGTTTTCAGATTCATCGAAATTTCCGTTTAGCCTTCAACATTCATTAGTACGAAATGCCTTTTGAACGGTTAAAAATTGAGTGGTTGAAAAACTTTGCCTCATTGTTCAGTTTTCATTATCACTCAGTAGTCAGTGCTGTTAGTTATCAGTGGTTATCGCTGTTGTGATGGATAGAATTGTTTATTGTTGTGCAGTGTTTATTAGAAAGTGTCACGTAATGGTGTAAAATAGAGCGAATGACAATGCCGTCGCATCATTTTATTCAAATTTTCTTGATCTTCAAGCTATTTTATTCTAACAATAAGGAAGAAGAACGGGGAGAGGGGTGATTATCCCCGCCAAACATTATTCAGTTCAATTGTTATGTTATACAGATATTTACGGCGCTTGTTGGATCGTCGTTTATTATTGTTTATTTGAAATATTTTATGGAGCCTTTCAATTCGGCACAATTGTTCATCGGTGTACTAATCGACCAGATTCCGTTTTATTTGCGTTGAATAATAACAAATTTGAGAAATCGTCGCATTGAATGCAGTACGTTTTCTTAAAGATTTTAGAATAATATGTTTCATCTCACATCAGTCAATTGTCAGTTTTCAAACACATCAATATCAGTGACTAGTGGTTGTGATATCTGAAGATGTTCAAATCACTTGAAGTGTTTCGAGCAATCTTATAGTCGACACTTAATCGCATTGTGTTCATTTTCGTCAAAATGATCGCTGGTTTGCAAAGAAACCACTGACAGTGATCAGCTAGTATTCGTTAAGAGCGAAGTCGAATCCCAGTTTGAATCCACGTAATAAATCCACTTACTTGCATCTTTTTGGAGTGGTTACCTGCACTATCTGTATCGCATTCACCAGTCAACAATTACGAATCCCGAGGAAATAAATAAGAGAAGATAGATAAAAAACGAGAAAATTGCTATTCTAGCGCATAGTTGACCTGTCTGCTTTACTCAACTGTCGCCTGTGTTTATTCTTTCACAACAATAACGTCTCAGAAAGTACGTCAAATGAAGGTGAAAGGTTGGAGGAAAAAAAAGAAGGAATTTCAAAGCGCTATGATATTCGAAGAGGGCAATAACCTATCGAAGAAATTCAATCGTAAACACAATACCGAAACCAATGTGTTTGTGGTATCAGTGTGGCATTCGAGTAAGTGAACGCAAACAACGTTAATAATACAATGATGAATTCCTAAACTGTTTTTTCGCTTTGATTGAAAATCAATTGTGCGATTTTGTTGGCGTCGAATGAAAAAAAANAAAAAAAACGAATAAATTCAATTTTAATCCAACAATGAATTAATTTTAAGATATTCTTCATGTGGAACTTTTTTGGAGGCAATTGAACGGAACTGCATCCTGAACAAAAAAGAGTATTATTGAAATCGAAGTAGAAATAATGAATGATAAGTACAAAACCATAAATCTAATTTGATTCGATTATATTCATCTCGACTTGATTCTGATTGTGAGACAGACAACAACAAAAGTTGAAGGATCTCTTTTATTCTTTTTTCCTTTTGGTGGATTTTTGAACGAATAGTGGCAAATAATTCACAATGACATACATACAACAGTGATTTTCAAGAACAACAAAAAAATAAATCTCATTTTAATTTTATCTCCACCCAAAAAAGGAACATTTCTCAGGGTTCTTCCTGATTGTGAGAAGATTTATTGGTAAAGGTCACTCTCGACATTGCTCAGCACATATCATTGCCCTTACGAGGTTCAATCACATATCGAACGAAATATAATTGGCATATGAATGCTGTAAATTTCAGTAGACACATAATCGAACTTCACAAGTTCAGCAGTTAAAAATGCAATTTTTTCTAAGAATTCATTGGTTTAAGAAAAACGGTGGCAAATTCTATTGAAAAAATGGGAAAAGAAGTGCGATGATCATGTGTGTGTGTGTTTCGATGGCTTCCATTCTTCATTAACTCGTCGAGAAACTCGTGAACGGCGAACGTATTTTGTTTGTTGAACTCTGCAAACATTATCTGAAGGTCGCTCAAAAAGCAACAAAGCCCATTTCCACACTTGCATCAGCATCAAGAAAAACCGATTAACTTATGATAAATCGATGTCGTCGTTCAAATTTCATCAATTATCATCGTAATATTCGCATGAATCCCGTTAAAATCCAATCAATTTTGCGTAAATTTTTCAGCATAGCGCATCATAGTGCAGTGCGCATTTTAAAAGTTTTTAGTTCAGCGGAATAAACTTAATGCAATTGTTGATTGAGTGGCATTATATGCTTAGTGACGAAAAAATCAATCGGGCACGATACGACATTAAAGTAGTACCAAAACAACCGTTGTGCTTTTAAATTGTTCAAAATTTGATTCAAAACTCATCAAATTCTGCAACGGCTCACAAGTTGAACGGCTAAAAGTTGGTTAATTTCATCTGAAAACGTCAAAACTTTCAAACATCTTGACATCTTTTTCACTTAAGAGATATTATTATGTTCGATATTACGAGCGATTTTAAAAGATATCTTTTACAATCTATCGTTTCACAGCTCTGGTTATGGTTGAAGATATTCGATGAAACATTCTCACACAAAAAACCACCGCTGTGACTAATTTTGCACAGCACATCCATACATATCTCGGCACTTGTCATTACAAATTACTATCAGGTCATGATGTCATGAATTATTTCGTAATAAAATCACTCATTATGATCATTAACAAATTCACAAATAAGATTTGAGTTTACAAATAAGATATGAGTTTACAAATAAG